TGGAAGCTATGTGCACCACAGCGTTGCAATGATGTTGATCAGTTGCAGCAGCCATCCATGATGCAGGATACGTATGTCAGGAACCTATTCTATTGAAGTTGGTTTTGTGAAAAGCTCCACAGTTGTCCATTTTTAAGAACTAAAATTCACAAACCTCATGTGGTTATCCCCCACAGTTACATATTCATGCTTTGTCAAAGAGCTAACAAGCTTGTTTCATTTCAAAGCATGGATCCTTTCTGCTCAAGGAGCTTTTATTTTATTACTTTGAAATATGTCTAAAGTACATATTTGTCCTTCTCAACCAGACCACGAAAAGCTGGTTCATGTTTCAGTGGACAACAGTACACTTTAGCAGATTTATATATTTTTTAATTGAATACCTGACAAAGAAACTCTTACACATACTCCCTTTTGTCTAAGTTATCTGTGTTTCTTTTTTTTTTATTTTTATTTTTTTTATTCTTTTCGCTGGTATTAAGTTATTCCTGACTTGATTTGAAAATGAGATTGTCTAACAAGGTTCCATCTTTAATTTAGTGATGTTTTCAGTCATGTGGTTCATTGAGTCAATGTTTGTTAAACAAATGGACAGTAAACATATACAGTAGTCCCTCGTTTATCGTGGGGGATCTGTACCCTGAAGCCCTGCTATAAGTGAAAAATTGCGACGTAGGAATACTAGTGTAAGTAGTAAGTAGGTTATTTTTAGTACTATATATATATATATATATATATATATATATATAAAATTTTAAATGAATAAGAATATATATATATATATATATATAAGGCAAAGCACATGACGTCATGATTTCAGCTCTCTGCCTCCTCTCTGCATTGGCTGCTCTCTGCCATCTGCCAGCGCTTGTGGCCACGCCCACTTCTTCCATTGCTGAATGGAGATCGACAGAGGAGAAAGGACGAGAGCTGAAGAAGGAAGTTTCTCCTGCAGTGTGGGATGCACACAGGTGCAGCAGGTGCTAAATCATTTAAAATATATTTTTTTTAAATAAAAACTCCATGCCGACCGTGTGGCTCATCCATTAATCAGCTAATTGTGTGTCATGTCCAATCTTATTTTGAAAAAACTGTGATAGAGCGAGTCCTCTAAAAATGAACCGTGAACTAACGAGGGACTACTGTAATTGGGTTTGTAGGGGTGGGGGGCACATAACAGTAGATCATGTTGGCATCTTTAAGTTCCTTATAAAGTAACCACACTGGCACAGTAACAGGGCCTGAATTTCCCACAAAGCAACTTTGTCTAGTAAACAGCACTTTTTGTAAGCTGACAATAGCATAGAATAGAATAATAGAATACCCAAATTGTTTAAGCTACTTGAAAGTTGTTAAAATTCAAACTGTGAACCCTCAAAGGTTCCATCCATATTCCAGAACAATTGAAAGGTTTTATGAATGCTGATTTTAATGAGTGCAGTGCTTTTAAATTATTTTATAAAAAGCACCATTGTACTAGTATTTTTTTGTACTATTTGGAGGCAAAATATAAACAGCCAAAGTAACATAAAAACTTGCATTCATTAATGCCAGATTAAAAGAAAAAATAAAACATTGTTGCATCTTTGTTTAGTCCAGGTCTGATTCCTGAAGCAGGACAAAGAGTTATTTCATGTATTGTGTTTGTGTTCTGTACATGCTGAAGACATGCTCTCCATGAATCATTTCTAGCAATAAAAAGATGAGACAGAATGCAGATGTCATTTTAGTTACGTTTGTAAAATAACAAAACATTAGTATTTGTGTGTATGTGTGTAGTGACGCATGTCTGCAGTTGTATACATCACAGTAAATGATGTGATGATGTACATGTACAGCATACCAGTAAACAGGAATCAGCGAGCTGGGAAGACAGCTTGCACAAGTCTAAGGATACTGACTTAACAAACATGTCATTTATTGGTTTATGTATTTAAAAAAAATGGTCAGAACATTGTTTTGCTATGTTAATTTGTCATGTAAGATAAATATAATATAAAATATAAGATAGCACAAAACTTCATTTGTCACTTTCAAAGTCATAAATAGTATAAAATGCAAAGAAGGTTGTTATTGTACCTGCATCCAAAGATCAGAAAATACAGTAAAGACACACAGGGAATTAAAGGCAAAAGAAAAAGAACATACACTCAAACAGGATGTAAAATATACAAGATGACAAAATTAAGGCATATCGGTGTCTGTTATTTATGCTGTCATGTCTCCTTTCTTAATGCTCAGACTTGAGCAGACAAAATCTGAAGGAAGAAGCTCATCCTCATTCTCTCTGTGTTCACTCCCAGGCATCCATCAGATGGATGGATGGATGGATGATGGATGGATGGATGGATGGTAGATAGATAGATAGATAGATAGATAGATAGATAGATAGATAGATAGATAG